TCTTTTCATGTGCCTATTGGCCATCCGTATATCTTCTCTGGAGAAATGTCTGTTCACGTCTCCAGCCCATTTTTTGATCGGGTTGTTTGATTTTTCGTTGTTGAGTTGTGAGAGTTTTTTATATATTATGGATATTAAGCCTTTGTCAGATATATGACTTCCAAATATTTTTTCCCAGTTGGTGGGTTATTTTTTCATTTCAATCCTGTTTTCATTTGCCTTGAAGAAGCTCTTTAGTCTGATAAGTCCCATTTGTTTATTCTTTCTATTGTTTCCCTTCTCTGAGAAGGCAATGTGTCCGAAAAGATGCTTTTAATACTGATGTCAAAGAGGGTACTGCCTACATTTTCTTCTAGAAGCCTTATGGTTTCAGGTCTCACCTTTAGGTCTTTGATCCATTTTCAGTTTATTTTGGTGAATGGTGAAAAAGAATGGTCGATTGTCATTCTTTTCCATGTGGCTTTCCAGTTTTCCCAGCACCATTTGTTGAAAAGACTTTCTTTTCTCCATTGTATGCCCTCAGCTCCTTTGTTGAAGATAAGCTGTCCATACATGTGTGGTTTTATTTCTGGGCTTTCAATTCTGTTCCATTGATCTGCACACCTGTTTTTGTACCAGTACCATGCCGTTTTGATTACTGTAGCTTTGTAGTATGTTTTGAAGTCAGGGATTGTGATGTCTCCTGTTTTGTTCTTTTTTCTCAGGATTGCTTTAGCAACTCGGGGTCTTTTGTTGTCCCTTATGAAATTTAGGATTCTTTGTTCTAATTCTGTAAAGAATGTCATTGGGATTCTGATTGGGATAGCGTTGAATCTGTAGATTACTTTAGGTAGAATGGACATTTTAACTATGTTTATTCTTCCAATCCATGTACATGGAATGTCTTTGCATCTCCTTATGTCATCGTCCAATTCTCTCAGAAAGGCCTTGTAATTTTCATTATATAGGTCCTTACTTCCTTAGTTAAATTTACCCCAAGGCATTTTATTCTTTTTGTTGCAATTGTGAATGGTATTGTGTTCTTGAGTTCTTTTTCTGTTAGTTCGTTATTAGAATATAGAAATGCTACTGATTTATGCAAATTGATTTTATACCCTGCAACTTTGCTGTAGTTGTTGATTACTTCTAAGAGTTTTCAAATGGATTCTTTGGGGTTTTCTATATATAAGATCATGTCATCTGCAAACAGCGAGAGTTTCACTTCTTCCCTCCCTATTTGGATTCCTTTTATTCCTTTTTCTTGCCTGATTGCTCTGGCTGGGACCTCCAGTACTGTGTTAAATAAGAGTGGTGATAGAGGGCATCCTTGTCTCATTCCTATTTTCAGGGGCATGGCGCTCAGTTTTTGCCCATTGAGTATGATGTTGTCTGTGGGTTTGTCATATACGGCCTTTGTTATGTTGAGGTAGTCTCCTTCTATGCCCATTTTGTTCAGAGTTTTTATCATAAATGGCTGTTGGATCTTGTCAAATGCTTTCTCTGCATCTATTGAGATGATCATGTGGTTTTTATTCCTCAATTTGTTGATGTGGTGTATCACGTTGATTGATTTGCGGATGTTGAACCATCCCTGTGTCCCTGGTATGAATCCCAACCGATCATGATGTATGATCCTTTTGATGAATTTCTGAATTATGTTTGCCAAAATTTGGTTTAGAATTTTTGCATCTACATTCATCAGTGATATTAGCCTGTAGTTCTCTTTTTTCATGGTGTCCTTGTCAGGCTTTGGTATCAGCGTGATGTTGGCCTCATAGAATGTGTTAGGAAGTGTTCCATCCTCCCTAATTTTTCGGAATAGCTTGAAAAGGATAGGTATTAAATCCTCTCTGAAAGTTTGGTAGAATTCCCCAGGAAAGCCATCTAGTCCTGGGGTTTTATTCTTTGGGATGTTTTTGATTGCTGTTTCAATCTCTTTCCTTGTGATTGGTCTGTTCAAATTGTCTGCTTCTTCTTGGGTGAGCTTTGGGAGATTGTAGGAGTCCAAGATTTTATCCATTTCCTCTAGGTTATCCATTTTGTTGGCATATAGCTTTTCGTAGTATTCTCTTATAATCCGTTGTATTCCTGCAGAATCTGTTGTTATTTCTCCTCTTTCATTTCTGAATTTGTTTATTTGAGCTTTCTCCCTTTTTTTCTTTGTAAGTCTGGCTAGGGGTTTGTCAATTTTATTTATCTTCTCAAAGAACCAGCTCTTTGTTTCATTGATCCTTTCTACCACCTTTTTCGTTTCAGTAGTATTTATTTCTGCTCTGATTTTTATTATTTCTCTCCTTCTGCTGACTTTGGGCTTTGTTTGTTCTTCTTTCTCTAGTTCATGTAGACGTACTTTGAGACTGCTTATTTGGGGTTTTTCTTGTTTGTTAAGATGTGCCTGTATTGCGACGAATTTTCCTCTTAATACAGCTTTTGCTGTATCCCATATGAGTTGGTATGGCATGTTATCATTTTCATTTGTTTCCAGGTATTTTTTGATTTCTTCTTTAATTTCTTCAATGATCCATTGCTTGTACAGTAGCATATTGTGTAGTCTCCACATCTTTGTGCCTTTCTCAGCTTACAGAAGATTCACTCTGAGCTAACATCTGCTGTCAATCTTCCTCTATTTTGTGTGTGGGTCACTGTCATAGTATGGCCACTGATGCGTGGTGTAGGTCCACACCCGGGAACCGAACCCAGACCAATGAAGCAGAGCACGCGGAACTCAACCACTAGGCCACACAGCCAGTCCCCATAATCCCCTGTTACTATACAGGAGTCCTGTTGATGTTGTGGTAAGGTGTGGTGGTGGGGAGAACATTCCATAGTCCTGTCATTAGATCTCAGTCTTTTGTCTGTGTTCCTGGGGTGTAACCTTCACAAGGGCTTCTCAGCTTCCTTTGCCTTCCCCAGCCTTAGGTGATACAGGAAGGTTAAAGGGGGCGACATTTTGGTATCTCTCCTCAGGTCAGTTAGGCTTCAGTAATACCATAAACCAACTTTAGTAAAACTTGGTTAGGCTCTGGTAAAATAGTTTCCCTTAAGGGCAGGCCCTGTTACGGAGAACAGAGAGCTCTGGGAGTTGTTTTAAATGGTTACTTTTACTCCTCCACCTGCCAGAAGCAGGAGACGTTTTTTCTCTGATCTTCATAGTGAGAGTCTAGTGGGGCTTCTGGAGGTAAAACTCAGAGTCCGCTGTAATGACAAATTGTGATCAACACTAAGAATGAAAAGTGCAGAGTATTATGACAGTACATAATAAGGGAAACTGAGATTGTCTGTGGGACCAGGGAAGGTTTTCCTAAGGAAAAGAACTAAGTGAAAGAATTGGAAGAAACATTTAAGGCAGAGGAAATGTGCAATTGGTCTAAGGTAGGAAGACACATGGAATATTCCAGTAAATGACAGAAAAATCAGGATGACTAGATTGCAGAAAGACAGGGGAGAATGGCTGAAGGTGAAGTTGGGAAGGTAAGTAGGCTAAGAGCTCCGGTTGTTATTCTACAAACAATGAGAAGCAACTTTAAGATTACTAAGTCAAATTCTAGATAGAGCTTTGGGCTGGAAATGAAGCAGGAATAATAATGGACATTTTCTTACGTTGTTCCTTTCAGTTGCGCTTCTCTCCTAAAGAGGAGAGATAAGCAAGCACTAAGGCTGTTCCTTCATTCTTCTTTTCTCCTGGCCCTACCACCCTTCTTTGGCTTGTCTGTCCAAGAAAAACCCTCCATCATATCATGCCAGCTGCAAGGGAGGGAGGAAAAGAACTATATAGGGGAAAATATGCTAACCCCTTCAACCCTTGCACCAACTACAACAAAACCCAATTGATAATTCTAGTTCAACTTTCATTTAGTTTTTGAATCTATTCCAAGAGTTCTAATCTGGGGAATCTGACTTCAAGGAGCCCCTGAACCAGCAGAAATTGTATGCAACATTTTGTGTGTACACACGTGCATTTTGGGAAGGGTAAAGGTTCATTCACAGCTTTTGTCAAATTATTTAAGGGCTCTGTGATTCTCCTACCAAATTGGGGGTGAGGGGAGGTATGTGCTATGTTCTTCCATGAAGTTAGAATATATGACCAACGTCTTGCTAATTGGAAGTTGTATCAATGTAAAGTGCCAAATACCACGTATTAGTTGGTTTATTTAAAAAAAGAAAGATACAGAACAAATTAACATTAAAGATCTCCACTAATTTATAGTTTATAGTCAAGGTCAGATATGGTCCCATCCTCTGTATCTTCTTCATTGTGGAGACTGAATACTATGAGTTAATAGTCATAGCCATGACCTTAAATACTGGAAAATTATGAATTCACATTTACATTATCAAAAAAAGGTTATATTATGCCAATGTAGTTTTAGCATTAATTTGAATTTCAATTATTAGAAAACAGGTAACACACGAACTGTCAATATTGGGTAACCTTTTGCACTGCCTTCTCCTTGAAGGTAATATTCTGCCTACTCATCCAGCAGATTCTATATGAGAGGAAAAAGCGAAAATCAGGACTTCCTTGTTTATTCTCCAAAAGTCTCCCGAGTTTGGTTGATGCAGATAAGACATCTTTGCTCTCTAAATGTGAGTCTTGGACTCTCCTGGTCTGCACACTGGAGTCTCATTGTCATCTGCACCTCAAGATTCCTCAGGTCTTTCCCTCCCTCTCTCCCTCCCTCCCTCTCCCTGTCCCTTTCACTCAGTCACACACACATTCTGTAAATGCTTTGTCTCTCCACTCATGCGCAATTCGCCCCTCACAGTGTAATCTGAATCAAACTATCAGATCCTCCGGTGCAGAGTCGCAGCTCCTCCTCCTTTGTGCTCGCGCACTGACAAGTTCTCAGGTTTCCAACAAGGACTGATCAACTGCAGGTCAGATTGGCTGAGCCAGGAAGAGGAGCAGAGCCTCCACCAAATCACAAATCTAGGATTTTCATCTTTCTTGTCTCCTCCCTAGAATCCTGGTGACCCTTGTGCCTAGTTTCTCTCAGAGGAAACTTGCCTGGGGTTGCTATGGAGATAGGACGCTGCAACTTGCAGAGCAACTAAGACGCAGAAATCCCTTAGCAGCTCTCAGCAAAGCGACTGCACTGCGTTGCCTCCTTCCATTTCGGCACTCCCCCTTCATCCAGAACTTTGTTTTTTTCTTGATTACTTCCATGGAAGACTTGACCTCCTTGAAGCAGGAAGACAATCAAGAACCTGAGGAAGCAGAGCAGCCATGGGAAGAAATAACAGCAGCTTCTTCCCAAGATCCTGTGCCTGGGCTACCTGAGCCCCTGGAGTCAGAGCAGGGGCCAGAAACTGGACTCCAGCCCGGGAGCAGCCCTCCTCAGAGCTCCCAGTCTCGAACCAGCACGCCTCTGAATGACCTCACAGGACTAGGTGCATCATCTCCACCTTCCTTTCCTCAGGAACCCACTTCCACTCCTTCTACCCTGGCTCTGGCCAGACAGGACCTTTGGTCCCCATGGAAGTCAGACAAGACCACTAGTGTGATTCCTGAAGCTCGGACAGCTCATTCCAACCATTTGGAACAATCATCTGATAAAGGAGAATCAGCTCCTCATCAAAAGTGTCAATCAGAGGGAAACACCTTCCAACAGTCTCAGCAAACCAAACATCACCTTCATGAACCAAAAGATGCGAGCCATAACAACTCTAAACTAAAAGAGCTGAGACTTGACATTTTTCAGGAGGAAGACTCAAACAGCAACTATGATCTGGATCACCCTGAACCTGGGACCTCTGAAGTGACCCCCAACATGCTTGAGATTGCCATTCAGAATGCTAAGGCTTACCTACTAAAGACCAGTAGCAAGTCGGGCTTGAATCTGTAAGTTTTGAAGGAAAAAAAAAGAGAGAGGGAGAAAAGTTTGGCAAAGAAAAGAGGGTGTGAGTATCTGTGTGAGAGTGTGTTTCTTTGGGTGAATGGAAATATATATGAAAAGTCTGTGATTTAATAACTTTTCATCACAGGACTCAAACTAGATCACTGGTGGGGATTCTGCTAGCTTCTTTAAAGACCCTTAGCACACAGAAATAAGAGCTAGGAATTATGGAATCTTGGTTTTGAAAGAGACCATAAAGATAGTGAAGTCTAAGTATTTCTTTAAGATGCTTGTAAAAAGCAATTGCCTACCAGTGACGGGAGCACACGGCTCTCATCCAGCATTCTAGACCTTGTATGGCTTGGCTTTGAGGTCCCACCCAGGCCAGTGCTGGCAAGACAAACTATTACAGTAATTTCCCTGTCTGGATTTGGACACTGAACGTTCTGTATGCTGAGACACCCCTCAGTCCTGGGCAAACCAGGAGAATTGGTCCCTATAATTTTAAGGCTTGAAGACTGAAAACAACATTTAATATGAGAAATCTTTCACAAAACCTGAGATTGACAATTTAAAATATTATTTCTAAGTTACTGTTTTAAACTACAACTTACTTAAGCTTCGAGGACTTGATATGCTACTCAGTAGTGGCTTCTACTTGAATTCTGATATAAACTTCTTGTCATAATGCCCTGTGTTAAATGACAAGCATGAACTCACAAACTTTGTTAAAATTCCAAAAGAGCTCATTAGAAATATGTGAAAGTTCACTAACAATTTAAAACTGAATACAAAAACATAAAAATGGGAAAATGTTCTTTACTGAATTATTTTATAACTGATATTACTTAAATATCTAAATTTTATTTCCAAATGCTGAGTCTCTGAGGTAATAATGAATATCTACTGTCATATTCATTATTATCTTCTAAGTACTTTAGAGCCTGCAGTTAAAAACTGCTTTGTAAAGAATAACTTTAGCTCCATCTCTTATGTGCAGATCTTATTGGACAGCCATGAAAGCTACTTTTTTGTTGTTGCAATTAAAACAATCTTTGATTAAAATACAAGATCTGATATTGGTTTTTACACTGTTGAATAAATAGCCTAGAGAAAAGAAACACTTCCTCCTTTTCTGCCATGCTATTAAAACAAGTTATTAATACTCCAAATTGAAAAAGCTATCATTGTGAATTAAAATCTAATAAACATATTTCATAATTGGACACAAAGGCATTTTCAGGTGTGGATGTCTGAAAAACACTGATGCAATATCTTGCTTGAACAAACATGAAGAAAGCATGTATAGACATTATATTAAAACCTGAAAAATAAAATAAAAATTTGGACTTAGAGTTCTTGATTTCATGGCATACACTGCCCCTATTGGAGCAAATCAAAGACTCCAGTTACAACCCCAGCTGGTGCCTAATAAGAAAGAATATTTTTAGTCTGAAGACTTCTCCACGAGTTTCAATACTAAACGAATATTAAGGAAGCTTGATGAAGTTTTAAACAAACTCCTAGTCCTAACATTTCTTCTCATTTACAGGAATAGCAGTATTTTGGGAAATAAGGAAATATTCTTTGTCTATAATATTTTTAAACTGCCTTTCACATTGGTTGCCCATGTAATCTAGATATTTTTCTCTGACATTCTTAAGATCCATTAGATAAATCCAGATATTAAAGAAAAAAACAAAAAATAATGGCTAGGGTTAATTAACAAAAAGTAGGCAATTATTGAGCATCTTTTTTGTTTCACTATAATAATGGGAAGAGATATATTATAATAACAACAAACAAACAAAAACAAAAACCTAATTTGGGCCATATAAGAACGTAACGCAGCTGCTGAATGGGAAATATATAACGCACACAATTACATAGCAGTGTCTCATTGATCTCAGAAAAGCCCTTTCTAAACTGAGGAAGAATGCAGGAATGACTTGAGTGAAAGGCTTTGAGGACCAAGCGCATTTTAAATTATTTCTTGAGAGAAATGATGTACATGGGACACAGCAAGCAAAGGCTCTCAGGTAGGACTTAGCAACTATATGACAGTGATTTTTAATAGATTTATCTCACTGGGGCAGAAGTTCAGACTGAACTGACTATTAGAGATGAAATTGGAGAGAAACAATGTTTACCCACCAGAGAGGAAATTGTTGCAAGTTTCCACACTGGACAGAGGAGCTTCTATTTAACCTAAGAGCACTTTGATAGACACTTTTGGCTCTAAAATAGTAAGTTCATGCTGTAAATCTAGTATTTGAAAAAGCACACCCTAGCAATTATGTATAAAATGTAATGAATTAACGAGAAGTCAGAAGCAGTTTCACTAATTCAGTTACGAAATAAAAAGCAAGGGGCAGTGTTTTAAATAGAATAGAACAAAAATATTAGAGGGCATCACATTTTAATCAAGGTGAGTAATATTTGATGACACTTTTCTTTCAGTTGTGTGCGGGTGGGGTTGCAACATGAAATGTATTTCTTATGGGTCTAAAAAACTCTGAAGTAGATAACTGGCCTAGGAAATGAAAAGGAAAAGAACATATCTTAAAAGAGTCAACAGGATTTAGCAATAAAATTGGATTTGGTGATGGGAGGGCAAGGGGATGGAATAGAAGTTAGGGCAAAAGAATAAAAAGGTTAATCACCTTTAAATATGTAACCAAGAGATTTCAATCTCAAATAAAATGGGAAAGTGTACCTGATGTGGAATATGTATCTTGCTGTAATATGTTTTTCTTTAGTAAGTTAAATATTTATATTGGAGGCATTTCCTAAGGAAAACTCTAGGATAGATTCTTTCTGGTAGTAGTGGAAGTACCCATGTTTATCCACTTAAAATTTCTGAAGGCTTTGAGTTGTTAAAGTTTCATAAAAGCCAACTAACTGAGTTTGCATGAAATGTTTCTTTAAATGCTTTTGACATGGCTATTATCTGGAATTTTCTCTTTTTGGGTAGATATGATCATCTTTCTAATATGCTGACCAAGATCTTAGATGAGCGTCCTGAAAATGCTGTGGACATCATTGAAAATATTAGCCAAGACGTGAAGATGGCACATTTTAGTAAAAAATTAGATACACTCCAAAATGAATATGAGATGCTTCCGATATACGAAACAGCAGAGAAGCAAAAGGCTCTTTTTCTCCAAGGAAATTTGGAAGGAGCCGACCAAGAACTAGAAGATGAAATAGTAAGTCCCTTCTATAAATTTGAATAGTTCAGTCTTAGGTTTTTATTTGGGGTGAATGAGGTGTGGCTTTAAATTCATACCAACTGTCCTTTATAGCTTCCTAAATAGTATTTACAACCTCATTTCATACCACACATTTCCTTGTTTAGAATTTCTTATTTTTTCACATTGTGCTTTAATATTTCACAGACTTAGCTGTTTGTTATATGTGTGTGAGGTTGAGCTTCTTGATATCAGAGAGAATGACTTCCTCATCTTTTATATTCTCCAAAGTGCCAGGTACAGATCTGGCCCATGGCCATTTCTTATTAAATATTTGTTGAATGAATGAATTAATGTCAGGTAATTAAAAATTAGGCTTTAAAACAAGTTGCATATTTTTCCCTTTAATTTACTAGAAAAATTAGAAGACCTCTAATGTCATTTGCATTCTCTTCCAAGGCAACTTCCTCTATCAAAATTATGCATAATATGTCAATAGGAAATAATACAAGAAGAGAGGGATAAAATATTTCTTTTAATCTCTATAGATTAAATTGTTTAAACTTATAGACAAATTGTTTAAAATATTTACAGAGAAATTTGGTGACAGAGATCAAAAGATATCATTAGAAGAATAAAATTAGTTGTATCACAGAAATTTTAGCCCCAAATATTTCAAAATAGTATCCAGTATTGTTTCCTAAGTGCCTGTTGCTTGTAATTTATACTACTGAGAAATTTATACCATACATCTACTGAGCTGCCATGTTCTGCTAACACTAGACTATTTAAAATCTGTCCATGTACTTGCATATTGGATATTTGGAATAAGGTATTTTCAGAAAAAGGAGGAGAGTTCAGTCAGGGAAAAGATAGAAGGCGTAGGAATCTAGACAGTCGGTACATCTTGTAGGGCTTGGGCACCTTTGTGGGGAGACCCAACCTGGCGCAGTGGGATCCAGAGTACTCAGAAGGAACAGGTGATAAATGTCAAGGGGTCGACATCAACTGCCCTTTTCTGAAAATATCTTTCTCCAAACATTTGGTTATATAGCCACATACAGTGATGACGAATCTGGGACAATCAGCATGTGGGGGTCAAGCAGACACTCTCATGGAGGAGTTTTCATAGAAAAGCCAGACTCCAGTATAAGAATGGGGCATTGGACTATCTATAGGCATACTATTACAAGGTAGGGATCTGCATCCTAAAACTAGGGTGTGGGGTGAGAACACAAATAAATAAATGAGGTGTTTTGATCCTGGAATCTGGGCCCCTTAACCAAATTCCATAAATTCTTCCTAGGATTGATTTTAGAGCCAGGAAGAGCTGAATTATCAGATGAAGATTAAAAGCTACACTTCAGAGAGTAGAAAGATGCAGGAACAGGAAGACAGGCAGGTGTTGGAAGCATTGAAATATGACCTATGTAACTGACTCTGTCTCAGACTCATATGTATATATGGAATGTTCATGTTTGTATTCCTGTCTTTGGCCACACCAGAATTCCTGTTCTTAGTCTTAGCATTCATTTATTCATTCACTCATTAATTCACAAACATTGTGACTACTTACTGCATGCCAGGTACTGAGATATACACATGAAGCAGAATTTTCTGACTTTACGTTGCTCACAGTCTAGTCAAAGAGGCAAAACAGACTGTAAAGTTATTTGATTAGCACAATAATAGATAGCCTCCCTTGGTGAAAAACCAGAATCCTAGCTCAATCACTTACTCGCTGTGTGACTTTAAGTGAGTAAACCTTTCCAAGCCTCAGAGATAATCACATGGCAACAACTTAAGGCGTGGAAGTACTATATATCAAGGGTCTGATACATACTAGGAACTTAATGAATAGTAGCAATTCTTATTATATTGTTTTGACAACCTATGAGACAGAATGGAGCAACTACCTCTGCTATTGGGAATTGGGTAAGGCTTTGTAGTGGAGGTGTTTCATTTGCGTCATGAAAAATAAGTAGAAGTTCACCAGGTAAAGATTATAAGGAATAAAATTCTGGGCAAAAAGAACAATAAAAAGTCGAAAAACATTATTTAATGTTTGGGAAAGTATGGGTTTGAGGGATGGAGTAATGGAAATGAAGCAAATAAGGTGCTTAAAGGCAGCCTGCTCTTTGTGCACTGACAAGAAATTTCCTCCTTGTATACCATGGAAAGTCAGTAGAAGCTTTTAATAGAGAATAGCACGGTCTGACTTTTGGTTTAGAAAGATAACTCTGGTAGTGGCATTGAGGAGAATGAAAGAAGAAAGGTTAGATCAGAGGCAAGGAGGAGAGCATTAGAAGATTCCTGTGACAGGACAAGTAGTCAGAGTGGAGACCAGTATGGTGGAAATGAGTTAAAGAGGAAGGGATAATGCCAACAGCTTTTTAGGTGGTAGAATCAATAGGACTCTAATTAAATATGAAAGTCAAGAGAGTCAGAAGAAGCAAGGATAACTGAATTTTCCAGTCCGAGAAACTGAGTGGATGGTGATGTCATTGGTGAAGATAGGGTATGTAGAAAAAAAGAGAAGACTATGAGAGAAATATGAATTCAGTCTTAACTTGACATATATGTAGACTATTCAGACTGAAATTTCTCATAGGTGGCTAGAAATATGGATGTGGAACATGGGAGAAAAATCAGAGTGAGAGGTGAATTTGAAACAACCACTTTATCACTTGAGGTGGTCTGGAAGAAAGCTTCTGAAGTACTGAGTGATGAGATGACGGAAATTTTCAGGACACCAATATTTAGGGCTCAGTTAAGAAAAAGGAACCAATTAGAAACCAAGAAGAAATTGTTACAGAGTAGGATCAAGAGGGAGTGGCATAATAGATGCCATGGAAAGAGTCTTACAGTCCTACATCAAAGAGATGAGGATTGAAAAAAGTCACTATCCTTATTTGACACTAAAATTACAATATAAATAAGAGCAGATCATTTGTAAGAATAGCAAAGTGCTCTCAATTTCTCCATCTTGAAGGTCTAAAATTTGCAAGTGATCCCTACCTCAGATAAGGTTATTTTCTACTTTCTCACAAATGTTTTTCTAGAGTCCATTTAAGACTCTGCTTTTTCATTTTTCTGTATGTTTTATGGAATTATTTCTGATTTTCTTCCTTATTTTAAATCCAAAGTTATTATAAGTCAAGGCAAATATCTGACTAAATTATGTCTTCACATACAGTCATGCCTGAGCACTATTTTATTATATATTCCTTTTATTTGTCCTATATATCACCCTATATATAGGGTACCATATTGATTTTTATTCACCCTACAAACTACCATATGTACATAAGAAATATTTATTATTTAGAAAAAATATAGTAATATATATAAACATTTTTCTAACTATATATGTGTCTGTAGGTTATGTATATTTTATTATTTCAGGATAGTAAAGGGGCCATTTAAATATTTATAAAAAGGGGATGTTGAATTTTTATTATTCACAGTGAGTATTAAATTATTTGTGCCTAACATGCACACATACAAGATAACTATTATAATATATTGATGAGTACAAGACAATACTAGAAGCTACATTTATAAGCAATGAGAGAAGAATTGAAATTCAGTTATTATCAGAGTTTTGATCTAAATCTTGAAAGAAATGTCAAAGAAGTGATGGAGAAAGTAGAGCTAATAAGATGCTTACAAAGGAAAAGGGAAGCAAGCAGTTCTCTTATAGATAAAATGTTAACCACAGCATTTGTATTCCCAGGCAGAAAACTCTCTCCCAAATGTAATGGAGTCAGCTTTTTATTTTGAACAAGCTGGAGTTGGTTTGGGCACAGATGAGACTTATCGCATATTTCTTGCCCTCAAGCAGCTTACTGACGCCCACCCAATCCAAAGATGCCGTTTCTGGGGCAAGATCTTGGGTCTGGAAATGAATTATATTGTAGCTGAAGTGGAATTCCGTGAGGGAGAAGATGAAGAGGAGATGGAAGAGGAAGATGTAACCGAAGAGAGAGACAATGGAGACAGTGAAGCTGATGAAGATGATGAAGATGAATTACCAAAGTCCTTATACAAGGCCCCACAGGCTATTCCAAAAGAAGAAAGTAGAACGGGTGCCAACAAATATGTCTATTTTGTTTGCAATGAACCAGGAGGGCCGTGGGTGAAGTTGCCATCAGTTACACCTGCACAAATTGTTATTGCAAGAAAAATCAAGAAATTTTTCACAGGGCGATTGGATACTCCCATCATAAGCTACCCACCTTTCCCAGGAAATGAGAGCAATTACCTGCGAGCACAAATTGCCAGAATTTCAGCAGGGACCCATGTCAGCCCTCTAGGCTTCTATCAGTTCGGTGAAGAGGAAGGAGAGGAGGAGGAAGAGGTGGAAGGCGGGAGAGAGAGCTTTGAAGAAAACCCTGACTTTGAAGGCATTCAAGTGACTGATCTAGTGGAATCCCTATCCAATTGGGTTCATCATGTACAACATATTCTCCCTCAGGTAGGGGCTTTGCAATTCTCAATCTATCAGTCAATCAGCAAATATTTATTGAATTCTGTCTACAATGCACACATGTATACAAAATGAAGGCCTTCAGACTCTAGACAGAGAAAGAGACCATTAAAAAATCAAGTAAAAACACAGAGTACTATATAATTGCAAGTAGTATAGACCTGAGATCTTCAAACAGATTTTTATTTCCAAACAGAAACAAAATATTTCCATGGAGTATTTGACAAGTTATGTAAGCATTTAGATTTATGTGTGTTGTGAAATTATTTTTTATATGTTGACTATAGATGGGCTTATTAATTTTGGAACATTTTCTTATTCTATTTCTACAATACGTAGAGCTTATACGCCAAGAACAATACAAGATTACAACAAAAACAAAAACAAGCAAATGGTGCTATGTAGCAGTTATATAGCACCTATTCTGCCAGGTTCTTAATACCACTTTATATGTACTATCTCATTTAATCCTCACAACTGTATGAAAGGCTAATATTCTCCTTATTTTACAGATGAGGAAATTGAGGCAGAGAGTTTAGGAAATGTGACAAAGGGGATATAGCTAATAAGCAACAGGGTCAGATCTGAGTGGGCAGAATGGATCCGGAGTCCATCCTCTGAATCATTCTGCTATACTGCCTCATCTGCAGGTAGAAAATCTTCATTACACTTTGATCTACTTAAGAGATATTCTTACATAATGCTAGATCAGAGTCAATTAAATGAGAAATTATAACCCCAAACTCCATACCTAATCTTAATACATTTTAATTTTTGTTATTAATAATAACAATAGCATCTTACCTCTTTTGTATCTTACCACAAGTTAGTAAAATGCATTATCACCTTTTTCACTAAGCTTCTGTTCATTGTAAAATATAAATGTTCTATAACTTCAAGAAGTGGGAAAATTCTTGAAATAAATAGTACAGTTTTTTGCTTGAAATAACATAGATCAATAGCACTTGGCAAATGTATGTTGAATGAATGATTGAATTCCCACGCAGTAGGACCTAGTGCAGAAAATTGCGTCAATCCAAATGAATATCCTGATACTTTAAGGTACTCATTAAACTACAAAATCTTGCAATATTCCTACCCAGGGTCGCTGTAATTGGTTCAACCCCGTACAAAAAAATGAAGAGGAAGAAGAAGAAGAAGACGAAGAAAAAGAAGAAGAAGAAAAAGGAGAAGAGCCTGACTACATAGGACAGGAAGTAGGGCCTCCTCTCTTGACACCAATCTCTGAAGATTTAGGTAATTTTACACAACTATATACTATACACATATAGGCATGTTATATGTAATGTACACTATATTATATGTAGTATATTATATACACATTATATACATACATATATGTATGTGATATACATACACACACACACACACACACACACACATTGTAGTATATGGTGGGGAGTAAAGAACATAGCTGGCCACACCACCAACTTTCTCTGACAGGTTGCAGTGTGATGCAGGGGGGAAACGTAAGTTGGCTGCAGCTATTACTGGAAATGCTGACAGTTATCGTGTGTATCACTCTTGTCGTGTCAGTCTTCAGACCATAAACACATGACATAGTCATAGTATACAAATATTCAAATTGCATTGTTCCACAATGTTCATAAAATATGTCCTCATTTTATGTTAAGCTGTTGATGTTTTAACTTTTCTATGTCAAGTGTGTGTTTTAAGATTTATAAAAATAACTTCTCTGTTACACAGTATATCCGTGCCTTTTTAGGAGGTAAGCTTTTGGATTTCTCTTTGGTTGACAGAGATCCAGAATATACCGCCTTGGACAACACGGCTATCCTCCAACCTCATTCCTCAATATGCTATTGCTGTCCTTAGATCCAATCTTTGGCCTGGAGCATATGCCTTTTCCAATGGCAAGTAAGTATCTGACAACTTACGAAGCTATTATTGTGATCACTAAGTTCTGGAAATTTTAAGTTATTATTGGAATGTTACACTACTATTGTTTTAACTCATCTTTGGCATGCCAAGTGTGTGTGGCATAAAATTTACTCAAACAACATCTGTATTACACAGTAAAGCATCAAATTTAGAAGATTAATTCGGACTTTTGCCTGTTCATCTGAATTATCCAATTAATGGAGGTAAAATATGGTTTTTCCTCTATGATTACTTGAGTAATTGACTTATTCATTTAATGGAGGTAATTCTAAGCAGTGTTTAAATTAGCTTAAATGTCACATCATTTTTGTTGGACATCTTGATAAAAGATAATTAAAAATATGTACTATTTAGGCTATAACTTTCAACAGAACTAGGATCAAGAGGATACTAAATATCCTTTTATCACTCACCCAGAGCATACAGTTCCATTTGTCTTATGCTTCCATTTCTTATCTAATAGCTCAGTATCAGAAGCTCAGCTGAGCTGAAGAGGAAGTGAGCTGCCAAATGTCAGAGTAGCCATTAATGCAACAAGCCAAATATGAAAGCATTAGGCTTTTAATCACTCACTTGATGGTATAAGGAAAAGAAAGCACTGATTCCTCCATTCCATTTTCCCCGTGGAATGACACACCCATGGAAGGTCAGGTGGATTGGTGAAGACGTGGGGGTCATCTCACTGACGAGGGAGTCCCAGGCGTAAGGTTCTTGCAGTTTTATGGACCTGGGGGTGAGAGGAAGGCAGGGAGGGCTAGGGAAAAGTAGTGGGTACTGAGTCAGAGTGGGAAAAAGTCTCTTTAAGGTTTCTCGTTTCCGTCTCCCAGCCCCCATAAGGAGGGCTTGGCAGAGGTGCCTGAAGACCTCTGGGGAAGGCCTCAGATCAAGAGATCTAGGAACGAAGGCACTACGGTTAGGAACACAAACATGTGAAGAGCATGACAGGCCAAAGACGCCCGAGTCCTTGACTGCAACTGCCCTTGAAGACTGCAGTGCATTGGCTGGGCACCAAGTCTCGGGTGGAGGGAGGGCATTTTCCGGTGAGGCCTGCCAGGTAAAGCCTTTGTAATCACCCATGGTTGGACCTGAAAAGTCATACATAGCTTTTTAACCACAAGCAAGACTTCACCTGACCAAGCATTTGCTAGGCTGGCAACTTTTTAATTCTAACTCTAAGGAAGGTAGTAACTTTTTAACTTAGTTATTTTGTTTTGCTGAAAATAATTAAATGATGAAAGGCTACAGTCTAGGTATATGGTACATTTTGTCAGGGTCTGGCCCCACGGTTTTCTTAATCCGCTTAAGCAGTTTGGATCATAGTAATCCCCTGTGGGAGGATCATTTAGGGATGTTTCATCTCTAACACATTTTAAATGTACTGTTTTAAAATTATGGGACTATGATATTCTTAACTACTCTATCATTACAGAAAAGGAGGATCAACTTTTCTTACTGAAAAATTATATAATGATCATCTACATTTTTTTTTAACCTACAGAAAGTTTGAAAACTTCTACATAGGCTGGGGTCATAAATATAGTCCAGACAGCTACACACCTCCAGTTCCACCACCAGTTTATCAAGAATATCCCAGCGGACCAGAAATTACAGAAATGGATGACCCTAGTGTGGAAGAGGAGCAGGCTTTCAGGGCTGCACAAGCAGCAGCTGAACTTGCAGCTGAGGAAAATGAAGAAACTGAGGAAGATGAAGATGAGGAAGATGAGTATGACTAATAAAAATAAAATTAGCCCAGTCTTATGTGAGTGATATATACATACTCCTTATGTGGGACTAATTCTATAAATATATACATGTAAATTTTTATATATATAAAATATATGTATAAAGTGTATATATATATATATATATAAATTGGCAACCATTCATTTGCAAAATGTCATTCCTTGAAAATTTCAAATTTGGAATTTCAAATGTGGAACTACTACGATGTACTTATAGAAAGATTCTCAACAGATTTTCCAGAGGCTAAATGACATGTTCTTACATCACTGTTCTGATGGCTACAGCTAATGGAGGATGTGCCTCTGTATTTTTTTTCTAGACTTAAAAAAGGTTTAATTTCTAATAAAACATGGACATTTCCAAACATGGAAAATATATAACCCACGAAAGTTTCTTGGGGACTTCAATATTTTTTGAGTGTCAAGGGGTACTGAGACCAAAAGTATTGAAATCACTAAATTAGAGCATGGATTCTTAACCAGTCTGTGATATTGTGTATAAATACTGTGCTTTTTTTGTTTTGCTGAGGAGGTTTATAATTCCATCACCTGTTCAAAGACTGTAGGAACAACTCAAATTTTTAACACTTTTCTTTTTACTCCTTAAAGAACTTCCTCAATCTCTTCTTTGATCCTGTAGAAATGGTTTGATCTGACTGGGGAAAAATGATTTGCGCCGAGATGGCTAGCTGGAATATCCAGAGACTTCAAACTGATATTTTCTACCGCTGCTTCTCTAAAACTAGTTTTCATTCACTAAAAAAGTATTTTTAAGGCCTACATGTGCCATGCACTCTGAGGCTCCCATTAAAAACTTGTCATTGTTTCTGAAATTTCCAAGCTTACAATCAAAGGAGGGAATATAAAAAGGTAATAGAAAATTAGAATAGATTGCAACTCAGCAGGTATCTTGATAAAAATATTAGAGTACCAGAGAACAGTGTTTTTCAAACTAGGTGGTGAAGGACCAATTTTAAAAAGTAGGGGGTGGCCCATTGGCATAGTGGTTGAGTTTGCACACTCCACTTTGGCGGTCCAGGGTTTGCCCTTTCGGATCCTGGCCACAGACCTACACTGCTCATCAAGCCATGCTGTGGTGGCATCCCACATACAAAACAGAGGAAGACTGGCACAGATGTTAGCTCAGGGCCAATCTTCCTCACCAAAAAAATAATAATAATTTCTAATCCATTGCTATTATTTTGGCAAAATAAAATAATGTCTCAGCAATTCTACTTTCTGTAATTATCTTGTCACAGACTGGCAGTTTGCAGATCACCAATCTACACTCTGAGAAACACTGCTTATCAAACACTTAGAAGGTACATTTAATCTAGGCTTGAGCAGTTCAGGAAGTACTTCTGAGAGGAAGACCTCCTAAGAAATGGAGAACTAAAGGGAACAGGGTTCTAGGCAACCCTGCTCTATTTTGGCAAAGGGCTTCAGTCTGAAAGGAGTGAAACTTTAAGAATGGTGAGAGATGAGCCTGGAGAGGCAAGGAGGGCCCAGATTGTGTGGGATGTTTGGATTTTATCCATGAGTGATGAAGAGGACTCAACTAGGAAGTCACAAAATCTTATTTGTATTGAATGTCTTGGCTCCAGTGTGGAAAGCGGACTGACAGAGGATCAATACAGGGAGACAAGTTAGGAGGTTATCACATTATCTAGGTAAGAGATAATGGTGGCATGAAACAGGCTAACTACATGGGGATATAAAGTAGAAACCTGATTACCAGTTTGAAGGACAGAATATTAGGATGGTTTCTAGAATTTTCCAATTGGCAATATTATTCATTCTTGGAGTACAACTTTCAGTATTTTGATATTTTCAGTACTTTCAGTATTCTAACATTTCTAGAACTTCATTCAAGTACATTCTTGTTCATTTTTTTCATGGTGCAGTGAACATTTGTTGCTTTTCTCTTTTGTTGTTTAATATCCAGCTCCTCATCTACTCTGATTTCTTTTTGAGATAAACTGTCTCTGTCCCATGGCATACAGTCTCATGCCAATCAGATGTGCCTTCTCTGGCATCTGAACTTTGAACAGACGTTTTACCTCAGCTCCTAACCTGACTGTTCCTGCTATAAATTAGACCATATTCTAACCTCTAGACTTGCCTTGGTTCTAGCATAGTTCCCTTTTACCTGTGGATTCTGTGAGGTTCTGATAATCTTTCAATGAATTCCCTTCTGCTTAAATTGGCTAGAGTAGGATTCTTGCTTGCAGCCTTACATGGCACATCCAATAGGACTCTGAAAGTTTCTTTTCTACAGGACACATTAAACATAAGACTCTGAATCACAATATAGGTAAGTGTGTAAATATTCAACAAAAACAAATCTCTCTTTTTAGAGCTATGCCTGTTAAATATCAAGGTTATTTCTAAGTGGTAAAGAGATAATTTTACATGTTTTACAGCAGAAGAAAGCAGAACGCTGTAACAGTAAGAGCTTAGAAGTGAGACAGCCTGGGTTCATACCCTGGGTTACGATCATTTTCTTGGGCAAATTACTAATCTCACAGAGCTTCAGCTTTCTCACAGGGCTAATTTAGTACTTGTCTCACAGAACTATTTTGAAGATTAAACTAACTGATACATGAAAAGCACTAAGAATATCTAACACAAGCAAGGGCCCAATAAATATTACATATGACTATAATACAAAAGCAGTTTCTGAAACGTGGATAAGAAAAAGAGAACTCACAATGTAAACAAGATATTTTATTGAAATTATTACTAAACAATGGAGTAGTAAAAGTATAATTTAGACATTTTAGAAATTAAATTACAAGTTGAGTATTTAGAGAATTTTAGAGAATCCACGGCTTCATGAGTTGTATTAAGGAGTTTAATATCTGAATTTAGAATATACAGTAAAATTCCACAATCACTGAAATGCTTAATTCTTCAAGGAATCTTCTCGGCTGTAAAGACTTGAGATGCTTGTCTCCTGGCCTTTAAAAGGAATTTTAAAAAACTGTTAATTGTAAGTGAGAAGTCAATTAATTAAAATAAGTATTAATTATCATTCTTCTATTAACTAAAATCTGGAAGTTTTTTCAAGATGATGAACATTCCTTAAGGAAAACTACAACTTCTAATTTAGGAAATTAGGATTAAACATTTTTAAAGCCAAGTCACTATAAAATTAAAAGAAAATTCCAAATAAGGACAACATAGAAAAAAGTAAAAAGAAAAATGTCACTTTTTATGAAATAAAGAGTCAAAAGTAAAAATGCCGGCTCAAAGTCAGAGATAGCTAGCTAAAAACAGAGGGAAGCAGAGACAGACAGACATAGAGCTATGAGCAGAGAATCTTTAAGAGAATTATCTCCTTCATTATGGCCTTAAAAATATCACTTTAAAAATCTTTTAGGGGCTGGCCCCGTGGCTGAGTGGTTAAGTTCGCGCGCTCCGCTGCAGGCGGCCCAGTGTTTCGTTGGTTCGAATCCTGGGCGCGGACATGGCACTGCTCATCAAGCCACGCTGAGGCAGCGTCCCACATGCCACAACTAGAAGGACCCACAATGAAGAATATACAACTATGTACCAGGGGGCTTTGGGGAGAAAAAGGAAAAAATAAAATCTTTAAAAAAAAAAAAAAAAATCTTTTAAATGTTGTGACATTTCCACAACTTGAGTTACAAATCAAGGCATATTATACCAAGCTAAGTTAAGACAAAGTTAAGAGTACAAGGATTACCCAACGGAAAACAAAGGATGCAGTTATGTAATTTAACTGCCACATATCAATATGTGAAAAGAATTGAGGAACAGGGCCATTAAATAGATTTATATTTATTATTTAGGAGATATTTTGTAAAATAAATCCTTTCACCTAAACAAGTGTTCCAGCATCTAAAACAGAGTGTGGAATTAGACACTCAAAATATATTTATGGCAGAAACGTCTTAGAGTAATTATAAGACAATCGTAAGGATAAAAAAAATTTTTTTTGAAAATTGATTGCTCTCCTTGAATAACAGAAGCACGATAATTAAAATATTATAATTAATTTTAAGTTCAAATATGAAGAACAAGAGCTAGCCTAGCAGCATAATGGTTAAGTTCATGTGCTCCACTTTGGCGGCCCACGGTTCGCCAGTTCTGATCCTGGGCATGGACCTACACACTGCTCATCAAGCCCTGTGGTGGCGGCATCTCACATACAAAACAGACGAAGACTGGCACAGATGTCAGCTCAGCAATAATCTTCCTGAAGCAAAAAGAGAAAGACTGGCAACAGATGTTAGCTCAGGGCCAATCTTCCTCACCAAAAAAATAAATAAATAGGGGCTGGCCCCATGGCCGAGTGGTTAAGTTCGCACGCTCCGCTACAAGCGGCCCAGTGTTTCGTTGGTTCGAATCCTGGGCGTGGACATGGCACTGCTCATCAAGCCACGCTGAGGCAGCATCCCACATGCCACGACTAGAAGGACCCACAACGAAGAATATACAACTATGTACTGGGGGTCTTTGGGGAGAAAAAGGAAAAAATAAAATCTTAAAAAAAAAAAAATTAAAATAAATAAATAAATAAATAAAAATTATGAAGAACGAAATGTAAACTGCAGTTATAAATATCTATATTTTGAGATACTTGAAAAGACCAAACTTGTTCCGAAATGCCTACAATTAAATTGTAGTCATAACTTAGTAAGAAAAAGACATTTTAAATATGAGCTATAAAAACAAACATGAAATAAAAGTAAAATCATTATTTTGCCCTTGTTTAAAGCTTCAGATTTCTATCCGACCATATGCAGATCAATCAGTACAACAATATTTGCTGAATTCCTTCAATGTATAACAAAGGACTATTGAGAAGGACAGAGTAACTATAAGACACAGATGATAAAAAAAAGGCAAAACAAAAGGCTTGAAAGCAATATGCAAAAACAATGCTATGTTAAATTGGTTAAGATTAATTTTCTTCATTTTTACAATAATATATTTTCAACAATAAATGTGATATTGTTCACACAAAAGCTTAGCAAACATGAAACTATGAGACTTTGTATCTTCACAAAAGAAGCAATACAGGGCAGGGCTCTGGATATAAATTGCCTGAATCGGAATCCTAACTCTGTTACTTAGTAGCTGTGTGACTTTAAGAATACAACAACTTCTCTGAGTCTAGGCATCTTTGTCTGTAAAAAGGGAATAACAGTGCCTACCTCACAGGGCAGTTGTATAGATTAAATTAGTTAACAATATGTAAAGTGCTTAGGATAGAACCTAGGATAAAGTAAGCATTATACAAGTGTTACTTTTATTAATATTACAATTACAAATCATTTATTATTATTATTATGCCTTCTCTATCTGGCAGTATTGTACATTGTCAGCCAAGTTCTGATTCTTATGGTTAAAGACACAACTACTCTCCATGACTCAAAAAAACCCAGAACAGTAGCAAATGCACATTTTTAGTATTCTAACACCATCAAGTTCTCAGTTTCCAAAACTAGAAAGC